CCCCCAAGGATGTATTTGCTTTCTCTGTGTCAATTATCTCCTGGCAGACTTGTGATAATGCACTGGGCACCCAGGTTTTTTGCTATCTTTCCTAGAGAAATTAGTCCCCTAAGATCATGCTCCATGCCTTTTATTTTTGCCTAGTAAATTTTAAACCTTTCAAATCTGGAAGAATGTGGGTAATATGTTCCTATGAATTTCATGACAGTCAGCAGCTGGATAACATAAACCCAAATCAATGCTCCCCAGTGAAAAAAAGCAAGGACTACTCAGCAGTTTTCTGTTATTTATGGCATCAAAGAACTAAACAGTCAGTGTGCATACCTTGTTGCATTGTAACTGATGCAGTGGACACTAGGGTTATAGACTTAGGGATGAAATTTCTGGGATAAAAAAACCCCACACATGCTTACAGAGCATGTTTGAATCCATGTCACAGGAGGACCTAGTACTTCATTTTTCATGGAGGTTTATAGAGGGAGGAAGTAAACTCTGAAGTACAGAAGTAAACTTCCACCTCTGGGTCTGGAAGCTCAGGAGAAGTGCCCCAGGCAGGGTGGGAAAAAAGGTTGAAAGCAGATGGGAGGGTGGGTAACTGTGGAATGGAGAACAGAAATGGGCCGGAGTCTGAGATATGGAGCTTGTGTCTTTAGGAGACGCTTTAGGACATTTGGCAGTAGCTCTTGGGCAGTGTGAACATCCTGTCTTGGTGTCCCTAGCCAAGATTTCAATTTAAACATGAAGATACACATACACAGCAGTACTCCCCTTCCTGATTAATTCCCTTCTTTGCTTCATAGTATCCCCCTACACTGTGATTTAAGTGGCTTGGGAAGGACCCTGACTGATGTCTACCACAGGGTCTTCACTGAATTGATCCTCTCCCAAACAGTTTCTTTCATGCTGTTCCTGCCATGAAAACATTAAAAGTGGAGCTAAAATTCCAACTGGTATCTCTGGACAAAGTAAATCAGAATAGCAGCATTGTATTCTGGCATTTAGCACAACAAAAACAACATGCTGAGCAGGAAATACACAATGGCTTGAGTACAAAAATGAAAAGAAAATAAAGGGTTGTTTGGTTGGTTTTCTCCCCTAGATTTCAGAATTAGTTCCTTTGTTTTGAATGGGCTTGAAGAAACATTAATCCCCACCATTCATGTCTAGATTCAACTGATTTCAGGGCTGCCATCTTGACGCTGCCCCTCATATGTGTTTGTGGGGTAACTCCACAGTTTCTCATCTGTTTCAAGACCCCATGGGCCAGAAACATGCTGTCAGGCTTTGTCTGCGATCTGCTGAACAGCTTCACCTGGCAAAGGTGGCATAAAGCAAGAAAGAGGTGATGACGCTGCATGGTAGCCAGGCAATATATAGCTTTACAGTAGGGGCGCAAGTAAAAAGGAAACCATTATAAATGGATCTTCTTTCTCTGCAGCTTAGCACAGTTATATCTCCCTAGTCACCTAACTGCAAGTGCGTGGGAATACCTGACCATATAGGGGTAGTCTCACATTTCAGGAGACAAAAGAGGTGAGTACATAATTCATAAACATAAACTTTCAGGAAAATCTTAACCCTCCTGCGTCCTCGGTTAGACAGTATCAAAGACGTACTTTCAGAAATGCTATTAGAGTCACTGTAATCCACTGACAGTTGTCTGTAATCTTCTGTTGACTGACTATAATTCATTAATCTGGACCCTTTGTCTGGAAACAGAAAGGAAATATGATGAATCACATACTTTAATTATAAATCATTGTATCTTCATGATCACTTAAATAACATTTAGCCTGACTAATTTTTATATAGTCCATGTCTGTCTATCTTCTAACACTGACTTCAATTCCTTAAGGACTGAGGAAAATTTAGTAACTTCATTCTATTACTTTCATAATCTTATCCTGACCCAAAATAGTTCTCATAGTTGTCCTCAACCATTCCAAATAAAACAAATCTAATATATTAATTCAATTCTACATGTTTAAATGAAAGGTTGCAAAGTGCAGATAACCTTCAAAGCTCTCCTTCCTTATATTCTGAGGCCCAAAACCTTCAGCTATGAAGTATCCCTTCTGTATGCAGGATGGACAGTGCCCAGACACAATCCACTATTACCAGAGTCAGCTGCAGAAATTCCATTAAGGAGTCATCCTAAGTAATTAGGGAGTACATATGTCTGTTGCACCCTAACTTTACTTTGGTTGAGTTTATGCAAGTTTGAACCCATAAGATCAGCTTCTGAATAAGACAGCCAATATAATTTGGGAGGTGGCTTGTCTGTATGTTTTCCAGAGAATCTCCTTTTCTTATAACCAATAATACCTAAGAGAAATGTTCCACAGGTATTTAAGTGTGTGTTTAATTCTAGCTGAGGTTAATGGAACATATATGTGATTTTCTGAATAGGAATTGGATTGTTCACAAGCCTAATGTTGAGCATATCCCAAAAAAGCCTGCATATCTTGGGCCAACTTTCCCCTTGCCCCAAAATCAGATTCCTATTGAAGTGCACAGTACAATATAGAGTCTAGAAAAAAGAACTATCTCAATCTGAAGTCCACATTTAGTTAAAGAATTACTCTGAGGGATAATAAAATCTTGATCTTAGTCAAATGAAATGTGAAATTAGTTTATGCTGGTTTATTTATATAGTGAACAGGATTTGGCCCTGTGTCTTGAAATGACATGCAATCCATGTGTGAATTTGTAAATTTTTGTATAGAAAGATGGAACTAAAGTCAAAAAGAAACCACAAATCTTTGCTTGAGTAATCAAGTAAGAAGGATGAATATATATTCCTTAATTGCAACAGCATAACTTCACAGAATCCCACTCTTTACCTTCAAAAATACACTGGAGTATACAAAGTACAAAAACAGTTTTGAAAGTAGTGGGGGTTTTTTTATATGCACAGTGCTTTAAGAGTCAATCTGTGCAAGCTGACTCGTTATCATTGCTTCACAACCCTCAGACTACTGTCCTTTGAGGAAATAAGGAACAGAAACCTTGCTGACTTGCTTCAGAGTCTTTCCATTATGAAGTCATTTATATGTAAAGCAATAAATATCCTATCCAACACTACATGTAATCACTACAGCATGAAATTAAACAATTCACCTAGCTTGGGAAAGACTAGAGAAAGCTGTCTGTATCCTTATTAGACAATTCAGATTATAAATCTTTCTTTACCTTGCTGAAAATTCATCTGGGAAGGCAGCGATGAGGTGTCCAATATTTTCGCATGCAGCCTTTTTCTTATTACATGACTTCTGTTAAGCTGAGAGGCTATGCTGTCTTCCATGACTATCCGCTCTACCTAGAAGACAGAGTACTGCAAGTCAGTGTCATGATATGTGGACTTCAGACTCTCCCACTGAAGTGATCCTTGCCCTCTGCTTGTCAGCTGTTGATTCGCTTGGTATAAACAATTTCATCTTAGATTAACACAAAGTAGGATTGAGTTTTAATGGCTTCATGCTCTCATGCTAGATGTGTTTAAGAGGGCACAGTGTCTGTTACAGTGGGAAATAGAGAGTGCAAGGGAAAAGATCGAGTTGAATACTGGTTGAAAACAGAAAAAAATATTTGCAGTGTGTTGTCTTCCAGTTTCATTCAGCATGTCAACAAAAAATGTTTAATGATATTTCAAATCTTGAAAAAGACTCAGGTCCTCACTTAAAGATTTAATGTGGTCGGGCTTGATTGCACAGCAAATGTTCAGTTCCATTCAAGGATGATGAAAGAAATTCTCAACATGATGTAAATGTAATTTCTTCGAATCTCACAAAGAAAGTCTGAAACCAGAGTGGCAATGGGGAAATCAAATCAATCTCTATTCATTTGGCCAATATGAAGTCTCTGTAAACGTTATGATTGCTTCAGTATAAACCAAAGAAATTAAGATAATGTAAGGGCAGAGTTGGATATGTATCACTTCCCAGGAGTGTAAGAGTGGTGTGAGAGATGGCTTCATTGTCTCATTTGCTTGTACACATGCACACTCAGTTTCCTGATTAGAAGTCTAGAACCAAATCTCACTTCCTTAATTCATACAAGCATTAATTTCATGCAATTGCTCTCCTGTGTCCCATGTTGCTGCTCACCTCTCTCACCAAAGAAAAGGAGATGATTAGAGTATGAGAGTAGCACCTACCTCACTGACACTTCCCACAGCAAACTGGACCATTTTCTTTATGTAGACATCTGCTGGTAAGGAAGCAGATTCCTTCTGGTGTGCCTCACATGCTTCCAGAATTGATTCAGGAGAAAGTCTTTTGTGTGGCAGATCTTCACATAGTGTCAGCAGGAGCATGTGTAGTTGGTCACTCAGCTGGAGGGACTGAGTCAAAATGGAGGTACTGTTAAATGGCATCTCCCAGTGGTCTGAAATGCTGTGTAAACCAGCACCAGAAATTTCTGTAATCCTTTCATCCTGGGTGAGAAATGGGCACTGCATTCCTTTACACTTTGGGAAAATTCCAGACAACATAACAGCACTGAATGGAACCTCTAATGGGATCCAGTATAGCCTTGGAAGGAACTGGCAAGGATGGTCATCAGCCCATACAGGGGCTTCTTGGTGACAGACAACAGCTCAGTTGTCCAATTAGACTGTGAGTATTAAAGATTCATGCAAGACACATGGCAGCATTAGCTTCAAAAAGGTGAGGAGTTATACCAGCCAAAACTGTTGCCATAGAGATCAGATACTTAATTTTTAGTCATTTAGCTTATAGAGTATTTTCTCTTAGACCATGTATACCCATGAAAGGCAAGTTAAATCTACTAAAAGCTTGTGCTCTCCAAATCAAAAACATGCAATCAAAGGCATGGATATAGAAATAAAACAAAATGTGTGCTACAAAACTTTGAAAGGATTCTGGGTAAGCAGTAAATGAAAAATTTCAACTAGCGGAGATATTGGTAGAATTTGCTCAGAACTAAGGAGAGTTACATAGTTTTGTTACAGCATCCCATTCTTTGAAAAAGCATGTAAATCTGCATTGCACCGCAATCATACTGGCAAGATGTTTTTCTTTTAGCCCTTCCTATCTTAGAATCATAGAAGCATTTAGGTTGGAAAAGACTTTTAAGATCATTGAGTCCAACTGTAAACCTAACACTGCCAAGTCCACCACTAAACCATGTTGCTAAGTGCCACATCTACACATCTTTTAAATACCTCCAGGGATAGTGACTCAATGACTTCCCTGGGCAGCCTGTTCCTTATTACAGTCTTGAAATAGATAATCTTTACTGTTAAAGCAAGGTATAATTCATCTTTATAGGAACAAGTCAGGTTTTTGAATGAAAAAAAGAAAGAAAAGTAAGATGAGGCCTAACTAAATTAATGGTTTGGATAAACTGGTATTTTTGGTGAAGTCTGGACCTTGACACAAGTTTCCAATTCTTCCTGGAGGTTCAAAATGAAAAGCTGGTCTTACTGAGACCTCAGATTATGCCTCTCAATCTTTGAACCTACCAATATAAAACAGAATAAAAGAAAACAAAAATGATTTTGTTACTGGCCTGATTTGGAGGAACCTGGTAGTCTGCTGACCAATAGAGAGTCATTCCTAAGGAATACACCAGCATCTGTCAAAACAGAAAAGGAAGCCCTTTATGTAGTCAACATTAAATTCATAAAAGCCTCGTACTAAAGAGACCACATTTTTATGTCTTTGGTCACAAAATAGCAAAAGCCAAACAGATAATTTCTTCAAAAACTAGAGTAGATTAAATATATATGAAAGTACAGTAGTGACAGTTTATGGACTAGATAGCATGCAATGAGTATTGTTCAGCTTGAGGGGCTGAGCCAGGCTGCCCTCTATCTGATAATCCATGAGTAGGAAAAGGAACTTGAACTCCTTTCTTAGGTTTGAAGCTATCCTATTGGTGATTAAACCTCCCCTACCTGTGTGACTGGCTAGGAGTTGTGTCCAGGAAGAGGATTACTGGAGTGAGGACTATTGCAAAGCTTCATGTTTCTTCATAGCATTTAACTGATCAGTTATGTCGGATTCTGAAACTACTGTGTTCTGCCTGAGGGTAGTATGCACTGATGTTGTCCTATTGGTATTCAAAACTTCTGAGTTTTAGTGGTTTTTTAGTGTTGTATCTTACTGTCTTGCCAGAGAGACTTATTTAGCAGGGAAAAGAAAAATAAATTGTTAACAAAGCTGAACATATTTCTGACTTCCTGGGAGTGCTTCTACTCTCTAATTGTATAGATACTGTGGTTGTCTGCTTCTTGGATTACAATTACCATATCTGGTCAAACACCATGTTCATCTATTCTTACTTTCTGTGAGCATTTACATATAATACATTTCTGCAGACCTTGAGGACTGATGTTTAAAAATTATTTTGATGTTGTCATGCATGCTAATCTAATGGCAAACTGCAAGATACATGTAAATCTCTTTAACTGTAGCCTAATTTTTTAGTGTTACCAGAAAGGGAGTTTGACAGTCGATAACCTGGTATACTGCATTAAAGCCCACAAGCTTGTCTTCATGAGATACTGTCAAGATTTATTTTGTAATATAACTCACCTTTGTTAGTCCAATGCACTGGTTTTTACTTTGTCTGTGGAGCAATTCTGGTGCACTAAAAGGAGCAGCTTCCATCTGAGATGCATTGTTTTGAAAGGACAAATTTCCTTCAGCAGACAGCAGTATTGACCACGGACAAATCACACAGATGGCAGGGTCTGAAAAATGTTCAAGAAGATAATGGAGTTCTTAGTGTTGAATTGACTGCGCTCAGAAAATCATATTGCTGGTGTCTCACCTGCAAAACCCATCACTGAAGTTTCTTGGAGATGTGCCCAGAAGTCAGTGGAATCATGTTCATTTATGCCTGGCTAATTTTGTCAGCTGGAATTCAGTGATGGTTAAAGGTTTAATTTCTCTCTCACACCATTTCACACATGTAAACAATATATTGATTTTGATGGATTTCTGAAGCCTAAGGTAAGGCAGAATTACATTCCATGTGCAGATTCTGGAAACCTTGACATTTTTGGTAGATCTTTTTATGCAAAGAAATATCAGAAGATTAGAACACTGCTTCCAGTAAAGCATGAATACTTTGAAGCTGGCATTTTTCAGAAGACCTTAAATTAGCTTCCATTAAGTTGCATGACCATGGTACAAATTTCTTATCTGTGGTGATATTTTTTTTTTTTCTGTGTGCTGCTTGTAGTCAGTCAGCTCTGCATTTTAGTAACCTCTTTTTCAGAGTATTGTCTGTAGCAAGGCCAAGTTACTTTGCCAGAAAGCCAGTGTCAGGAGTCAATAACTTTTTATTTCCATTGTACAGATGAAGAAACAGATGCAGAGCCCAGCTTTAATGACTATACTGTGTCAGTCAACAGAAGCTGAGGTAGCAGTAGAAAGAAACTTACCAAGTCACAGTGCTATAACCTACTAAGATTTTCTTCATTGTTTCCAACTAACGTGAACTTTGAGATTTTTTTTTACCAGAATACAAATATGGAAACTATTGAAACTAAAACTTAGACTAGATTCTACCAGCAATGTGAACAGCCTTACTCACATTCAGTCTCTGTCTGTGTGTCAGTTCTGTTAAAAGAGGGAATATTTCAAACAAAAGTGTTTTCAAATGATAAATGTAGACTCCTAAACCTGACAAGATCCTGAGGACACTGATAGATCTTAATGGCCCTTCCCAGCCTCACCTGGGATCTACCCTCATCCTAAGCCCATAGTCTCAGGCTCCAGTTAAGCCTAGCCAGGGCCTTGAGTCCTTGTCTGAGGTATGGTGTAGGTGTGCCTGTCTCCAGTTCAGCCACAGCCATGCTTTGCCTGACTATGGACCTCACTGATCCTCACCCACAAATTGACTTCCCAGCTTGACCTCAGACTTGCCTTGTCACTGTGGACTTGCCTGGTGATCACTGCGCTCTCTGACCGTGGTTACCCACACCAGACCAGATCTGACTCAGCTTCCCAACTTGACCTGCCTTGTCACCTTGTGTGGTGGTCTGGATTCTCAGTTGTCAACTCCAAACCTGCCCTGCTTGCTTTACCTGAGTACGGAGGGATAAGGCCCTGGCTAGCTCAGCCTCTGCCCTGACACCCTTGTAATTGTACTTGGGTCTGGGCTCCCCATCTCTTAAGGAACAGCTTGCCCTTGCCGTTCGCTGAGAATAATCTATTTGAAGGTACCCGAGTAATGGAGTGGATTCTTCTTGTAAAAGGTTGAATACTCTTAAAAAATATCACTGCAGAGATCCACTGAGGTCAGTCCCAGTGATCTGAGGCAGGAGTGGAAGCATGAAGATGTACAGTCTTCTGCAAACACTGCACACTTGTATACATACATAAAGTGAATTTGACCAAAGACATACAAGTGATTTCACTAAAACATTCATTTAAAAAAGCATGATAAAAAGCATCTAAGATCAATCTGCTTACTTTAGAAACAGGAGAAGCTGCATTAAATATGGCAATATTTAGATATAGAATTCCTGGAAATACAGGTAATTTAAAAAAAAAAAAAATGTCTGTTGAACCACTCTCTTCAGTGTAGACCATAAGAACAGAGACCATTCAGATCTCCATAGGTGAAAAACTCAGAAACATGACGTAAATGCTTTGGTATTTTAGCATTTTTAAATTATATATTAAAAAATGGCTACTTAATTTGTATACATGCTGACTTTTACATCAGGAAAATGGATGGTAAAAATTAGTAAAATGCTAATCTGGGAACTCATATACACCTAGGAAGTTTGTATAACCAGAGGACCCAGAAATTCAAGACTTACAGACCACTAGTATTTGCAACAGTTGTAGCATTTACTTCTTTAGAAAATTAAACATCTCAAAGCTAGCCTTCTCTTTGGCTCCTTCCCTATTTTTTGTATTATTGTATAAAAGTACAACTAGCACATGCTGGGAAATTTTTCTGTTTTAGAAACAGATAGCCAGCTTGTTCTTCAGCCTTGATGAAGATTACCTGGCCTTCTGTAATGTTGGCCAGTCAACGAGTGAGCATACCTGCCTAACCAGTCAGTGCCAAAACCCATTAGAAATATTGCTATAGCAAATGGTGCTGACCATCACCAACTCTAGCAGGATTTATTACATCAAGCACAATGCAGCAAAAACACAGCAGTAACTAGCCCTGAGAAGAGGCTGATTTCAGAAGCTGTAACTCAAGAGATGTGGAGCCAGAGATACACCTTAGTTAACTGGGATGATGCTTTGCAGAGGCATTTCACCTTTGCTGCCCTCCAAGAAGCTAGAACACTGGGGATTCAGCTTCAAAATGAGTCCAACTTGGCATCACTTCTGGACTTCAGCTCTCTAAAGTCATGTTTGAGCAGCCTTGCACTTGACCTATAGACCAGCTGGTTCTACATCCCTACTTCCTCTTGTTTTACTCTTCATCTTCTGATCATAATACATCACATTTATCCGGTGCAGTATGGGGAACATAGCCTGATTATCTCAATTCAATAGATGTCCAACAAGTCTCTTTTTTTTTTTTTAAACAAGAGATCAGGAGAGCTTAGTGTCTGGCACTGAGTTAATAAGCTGTGATGGACCTGAGCTGAATCTATCCAGGTGTGTATCTCTGTGCAGCACTCCTTTGCATGTTCCTGGTGCCTGTCTTGTCTGGGCTGTTCTTTCCTCATTACACTAGATAATAGAGAACTGATGGTATAGTCAATTGATGGTGTAGTCATTGTACCAGTCAGTTAAAAAATAGTTGGTTCTCCCCTCCAGCTATAGCAGAAGTTACACATCACTTGTTTTCAGTATTTTGTATTTTGATTCTACATGCTCATGAGGTAAGAACACACCTCATCCATTCTTCGCTCAGAAGGAATATGCATTGTCAAACAGTTCTCAAAATGTGACAGGTTGCTCAGCTGTGCTGTCTTGTACAGCTGTCCCACTTGGCAAGCATTCATCATGATAACTTGCATAGCCATTATGACAAGTCATACTATTATCATCAAGGATAAAAGTTTCTTCCTAGCTGAATGAGGAGCTATGTGGATTTGCCTGTCCTCCTCTATCAGTACATGAAGGACATGAGCCTACCTGGCACTGCACTTTCTGTGTGTATATATTATTCAGACTTTAGGAAGGACTCTTCTGTCCTCTTCCACTGTGTATGGTTGTACTTAGATGAGTTAATATCTGGTGTGTAATTTGGAAAAAAACCCCACCTGTGTGAAGATCTCTTATGTAGGCAGAGCAGTCTGCATGTAATCCTAGCAGCACTGAAAGATTTCTCATTTTTATTAGCAATATGCTAGTACTGCTTTTTATCTCTCAGAAGAAAATCCAGACAATGCAAAAGAGCTAAAATAATTCAAGAATGAAATTCCAACAGTAAGAACTGTAAGAAGATACTTTTCACTTACCTTTGTGAAGGTCCTCCAGAAGCTGCACTGTGGACAGGTACAAGAGTGCCCATATTTCTTCTTCCTCCAAAGGGCTTCCTTTTGCCCACAGGGCCTCGGCTAGTGTCACACAGGAACTGCTCATGCCTGCTGCAACAGAAACCAGATTTTGAACACACTAAAGCAGACTGAATTGCTTAAAGCAAACAGATTACAGCTGTACCCTTCTCTCACAACAGGAAGTATTTTGTGAGCCACCCTGTTTCTTTGTTCACAAAAGGTAGATATTTTTCATCCCTATCTTAATCTGAGTAAGAGTAAATAAAGAGGACTAAGTGACTTCCTGTAATCTTTTTGAGCCCTCTTACTCATCATTTGAAACCAATCACAAGATTCTGTGGGGCAGATAGTTTTTATTCAGGACATCCTTCATGAATATGTGCTGTTCAGGCTTTGTGAGTGGTTATCAGAATGGTAGGGCATTGATTTTGCTGCTTAATGGGATGCTCTTTTCTATAAAAACATGACTGAGTTAATCTAAGAGAAAAAGAATGGCAAAGCAAAAGAGATGTAACATGAGAAGTTTATAAACACAGTCCAACAGAACAATTGAGTTCCATTCATTGCTCAGCAGATCGATCAGTAAAAGCTTGTAGACTCATACTGAATTCCTTTATGAGAGATTTTCTTGGTCAAATACTTGAGAGTCAGAACTTGCGGTTCATCCATACCAATATACATATAAACTTGCTTTGTTTCACTAAACCAAATTAAAAGATTATTCCCTTTGTGAGCTGATAAATAGTCATTTAGTGGCTTCCAGCACACTGTCCTATCTGATAGGCACATAAGACTTGGTGTACTGCAGAAGAATGTTGGTCCACACACTTTCCCTGGTTTGTCTCAGTTGCAATGCAGCATCAGATCATTTAGAGAAAGGCATCCTGTAGTGAATCATAGTTTAATGTCGTGCCTATTGGAAAAGTATTTTCCTAATCCCAGACAACTAGAAACTGACTTGTAACTTGAAGTATCAAGGCTTATTTTCCTGAGAATATTTTAACATACTAAATATTGCCAAAGAAGGTTCTGTTCTTCATAAATGGGTCTGATTTTCCCACTTCACCAGTTTTACATTTCTGCATTTTACTAATGTTGGCAGAGGTGCTCTAGGTCTACACATCTGTAAGGAAAACTGAATCCAAGCTTAAAATTTGGTAAAAATTTTTGGACTTAATTTATGCTCTTGATGATGCTATCCTGTAACAGTGAGCTCCATAGGTTCATTGTGTGTTGTGTAAATAGGAGCATAATGAGAAAAACTGGAAGTGATCTATCTATTGCTTGGAGGTTTTGACATCTTCAGTAGACCACCAAGTGAGGACACTAGAGCCTAGGATTCTATTGTCATGTCTAGGATTATAAACACCACTGTAAAATGAGTTCACTTACAGCCTGAAAACAGATCTTCCCCCCTAACCCTTTCTTCACCCTCTGTACACAGTCCAATTACTGCTACCATTTGGCTTCTGCCTGCAATGGAATTTACTGTGTTTTACAGCTGATTTCTTTGCTAGTTTATCATTTATCATGCAGTCTTCAAGGGGTCACTGCAAGAGCATTATGATGTTCTAAAGGACCAAGTTGGTGCTGATTAATAGACTACTCAGACTTTGATTCATGGTATCTCGTCCTGGCTCACTAGTTTCCAAACAAAGAATCACAACTTTGGAAGAATGATTCCTTGCTGCAATCACTATGGGATTATGGACCAACCTAGTGACATTTTAAACAGAACCAGAGTCCTAATTTTAGTCTCTGTAGCTTCAAAGGATAGTAAAGCTTCTTAAGAACCAAACTTTAATTAGAAGAGACAGACAAATCTTCTTAATCTAAGCCATCACCATTTCTCTTAATAATAAATTACTGTGATAGCATTTCACTTAACCCTGTGGTACTGGGACTAAACAATCAATTCCTGTCCCCAGAGCTAGAATCTGTGTGGCTTCTCCATATGGGTATTCCACCAGACTATACTTAGTACAGTTTTATTTGAGACCATGATGGGGGAAGAAGCACTGCATCCTCTTATTTCAGGTAGAAGTGCTTATACCAAGTGATTTCAGTGCTGATATTTCTAACTAGCTTAAGTTTCTCAAAAAGCAGCTGTCCAGCTTTATAGAGCCAAAGTGAAATCAGCAGTTACACCAGAGCTGCTTAACTTCTGTAGTGAATGTTTTCTCTAAAAGTAATGTCTCAGATCAATACTAAGTATGAATTAAATGAATTCTGCTAGCAATGGTGTGCAAACTTCTTCCAAAAATGATTAGATTTTATGGCCATGGAAATCATAATCTCTTTAAAGTGTAATAAATTATTGCTTTAATGAAATGTAGAGTTAAGTGATGTGTTATTTTACAAGAAAATTGTCTATTGATTCTTAAACACACTCAGAATGCCCTGTGATTTTGGGCTGTATGTTTGACTTTTGTTTTTCAAGACCAGCATGTTGTGATATTTGATGAAAACATAACTGAGAGTGGCTGGGGAAAAAAATTACATTTCATTTCCATTTACAGTCAGGCTATGCTATGTATATGATATGGGAGTAAAAGTGACATAAAGATATTGTTATCATTGTAGCACCACAGGTATTCATGGTCCCTCTATCTAATAAAAGCTGTGATCCAGAACCAAACAATTCTGATCTTCAAACAAGCTACAACTGATAAGGCAAAGCAGACAGATTAGGAGGCAAGGAGGAAAAAGTTAACAATAACCTTGCAAAAAGGGACTTGATTGTTCACAGTGACACTACATATCAGGAAATTATGCTAGATCTAGTTGAGCCTGCAGGGAAAAATTAGAGCAGCAGAATGTAATCACCCCTTTTGGAGTTTGGCCAGGATATAGAGGTTAACGTTTTTGTGCCTTGGAAAAAGTAGCAAAGGGCTTTCAGTGCCAATTTGTTCTCTGAGGTCAAAGACAAATCTTTTGCTGACTTCTATGGAAGAAGGTAGTGCCATCGAGGTACACAAATTAGCCTGAAATATCCTCCCCATTCTATTCTTAGCAACACACTCATTCATTACATGGGCTGTCTCAAGTCCATGATTTTCCCCTGGAAGAATTTTAATCTACTCTTCAGGCATAGATATGAAAGGTACACTGAAGTGAAGCTAATCCATCATTTTGTCACAAACATCCACCTATTTGTCATATTTCTTTCCAAATTATTTTATTCTATTTTGGTACATTTCATTTTACCGTATGTGTAAGCTTTTGTCCAAACAGACATTGAAATCTAGGGTCAGTGGAAGAAATTTAATTGATTATAAAAGATAATGAACTACAGCTTTGCATCTGAGTTAATACTTAACAACAATCACACAATAGTAACTTCATATGCCAGGGTCACTTTATGTGCAATCTGGCAATCTTATTTAGTCAAAATATAAGGGATCAACTTGCCTTTTGTTAACCTTTATCTTTAATTTTGCTACTTTGTTTTACTGTATAAAGACAACAAAGGAGCTAAAAACTATTACTTTTATAGGGGAACTGATCTTCCCTTATCAAACAGAGTCATGTGAATTAAACATCCTCAAGAGGAATGGGGCATCTGGATTTCTAACTAAATGACAGCCCTTTTCATGGAAGCTTATCAGAGAGAATTTACTGGGGAGTTAGTTCAGCTGTAGAATCAGTTTCCATACCAAAAATGTCTTAATCCATTACCTGGATGATGGTGAAAAAGCAGATAAAAAAGGGAGATCATAGGACACAACAGTGAATAAAATGGTAAGGAAGGAGAAACCATGTTATATTTTGAAAATAGGAGGTTGGATTTGTTTCTGGTTTACTTTTAAAGGCATGGAGCAAGAACACATTTGCCTCATTTGGGCATCCAGAACAGCTGGAAATGAGAACTTTGGCAAAAGTTTGTGTATAAACACAACAGCAAAGAATTAACCTTGGGTATGAATCAAGCATTCTGTGAATTGGAAAGACTTCTGTCAAACCAGAAATATCTTTCAGTTTTTACTGCCTGTGTCGTGGTTTAAACCCAGACGGTAGTCAAGCACCATGCAGCCACTTACTCACCCTTCCCTGCCCAGGGGACGGGGAAGAGGGTTGTGGGGGTAAAGGTAAGGAGATTCGTAGGTTGAGATAACCAGAAACCAGGACAGTCTGGAAGCTGTTCTTGCAGAGATCTTGTCTTTCTTCTAACTGAACATACAGTCCTGCTTCATTATGCTATCCATATATTGCAAAATACCTACCTGGAAACTTAACCAGCTTTTAAATTGCTGAAGAGTGTAAGCAGACAGAGATTTTGGAGTTGTGTCTGACAAATGTGTATTGCTTATTTATGGGTTGGACATCACAGCCTCTCTACTAGAGGTGACTAATTGATTTTGACATGAGTGAACCAGAGAGACACTACATAAATAGGTCCTCTGACAGATCTGAGAGGTTGCTAACCTCACTAAGATAATATGAGTGTAGGCTTGTACTGCCAGGCAAGTGAGAGGGGGCTCGGAGTGTAACCTCTTCCATTTGCACCACTATATCAAGAAAAATTGTCTATGTGTAAGCTGCTGTAAACCCATGCACATAAAGACACATGAAGTTGGCTAATACTGATTTTGCTTGATTTAACCACTACACTTTGTGGAAGTATCTGAATCTCCATCAGACACTTTCAAGGGAAACTTCAGAGACCAGGAATTGTTTCTTCTCATGCTGCGCTGAAGGACACACCAGTAAAACTACACAGAAGTCTATAAAAAGATGGTCTTCAGCAGCAAACTTTCTCTAGATATAGTATTTTTCTTAGCCTTCTATTCCTTTCAGCTGTTGTGCTCCAATTTCTTAGCTATGTCTAGCAGTCCCCTTTAGGCCTCAGGTGCTGCCTGATAGTCTAAAAGCACCTCCTGTAAATAAAGGACCAAGGGGACCTAATCCTGATTCAGTATAACTAAAGGCAAAACTTCTTGTATCAGTGGCAGCAAGATGAAGTGGGAAAAAAAAACTTTTTGGAAGAAGGGACATAGCCAAGATACCTCAGGTGCTGTTCTGCAAGATGTTAAGCAGTTGGCTTTCAAATCTAAGCTGATCAAATGCCAGGAAAGATGGGAACTTGAAGTGACATTTTCCTAGGGTGCTGGAGGGCTAATACACTGATTTTAAGGGCTGAAAAGGGTCCATGGCAGACAGATTAACAGAACAGACTTGCTAATTCTTAAAGATTTTTTAGAATGGAAAGCAGCTAGAAAAATGCATTTTTAGTCAGCATCCTTTTACTTGACATAATGCTGGACAATGGGTTAATTAACTTGTTAAATAATGTCATTTCTGAACACACCCAGGTGAGGACTTCAACCTCAATAAAATTGGTCTGTCTATCCTATCTCTTGATTTTCCTCTGTGATTCCACCCCTCAAAAATTAATAACTTACAGTTACATGTTGCTTTGAGGTGCCTTATGTTCAAGAGTAGCCTAGTGATGAATTTGTATCTTTACATCTTTATAATGTAAAATGAGTTCAGAAATTTCATCAAAAGGGACTGAAAATTCATTGGAGACTAGAAGTAAATCAAAACACAAATAATACCTGACAAAGAAAGACAAATGCTTTTTTAATATTAAGCATTACAAATACCCTAAAAGTTCTTGCAGCCTATTTTAGGACTTGCTGTGCAACAAATCAAACTTGGATTACAAAATTAGGGGGATTAAAAATAGGGCCACTGATAACATTTGAACTGAGATATAGTTTTGAAATCATCAGTAATAATTCCAAAGTAAATTTACAGAATTTAGGAACAGTCTGTCCTGAGCCTAGCAATACACTGAGGTGATATGATGAAGGCAGAACACTTTCTGTAGTCACAGATAAAGAAAGAACAGATGCAGCAAGCATTAATCTCACTGCTTCTGAGTTCCCTGAGTTGTGGTGGCAGTGACGGCATTTGGCATGCACCTGAACCAGGGCCAGAATCACCTCTCTACATGGTGTAGGAGTTAGCTTCAGGAAGACACCTAACTGATTTCCTTTATGCACTTAAATATTATGTGGTTATAAATGTGAATGCAGAGACATCTTTGAAATTGAAGATTACCCTAGTATGCATACAAATTAAATATTTGATGTGCAGAATAATTTCTGAATTGACTAGAGAAGATAGGGCTTGCTTTTTATAATATCACACTTTTTATAGAGGCATAAGATATTGCATAGTCTGTATAATATGTATTAAACTGATTCTGGGTCTCCACAGGCAGTTTGGAATCAGTGAAATAATTCTGCCCCACCCAAGAGTGTCTACATTTAAATATTCTTAAATGAACAATTTTCACATGAGGATCACAATCTTTTGTTGCTCAAGGCTGCAGGTTATTTGCTTCTTAAAAAAAAAAAAAAATCCAAACCCTGTAATTTGGAATACTGTATGGAGATTTTGAGAGGTGTTGGTCTCCAAAATGACTAGGACAAGGTAGTTAGGAGATACTGAAGAAGCACTGAAAACTGGGACCCAACTGTTTGTCAGTGAGAACCCTAATCCTGTTTTGTTTTGCATTTTATTCATAAAAATCCACAAAACTGTAACATGCAATTGGCTACAGAGGTAAGAAAATGATCACTTCAGTCTGTAATTGTGAGCTTAAGATAGGGTCTGACTGCATCTATTGTGTTGATGACAGTTTTGGTTTAATACTTCAGGTTATATTTTGTTTTTGAAGAACAGTACTCTCCATAAACCAAATTAAGCTTATAAAAATATAGTACAGAAATTTAGTAAGAAATCACAGCTAAATACATTGTTTTTATAGGCACTATTCATCTATAACATTTAAAATAGAGAACCTGAGTAAATTCTCAAACACTAAGTTCTCAAAAATATATTAAAAGGTAGTTAAAATTGAATTAAGAGAATAATGTTGATACCACTAAACCAATGACTGTTACTGATAATCGAGGAAATACAGAAAAAAGAAAAAAACTGTATTGAAAATAAGTGTAATATAATATCTTAATCATAACTGTATTCATTATTAGAGACACAAAAAAGGAAAGAACCTGGGGAGATTAGAAACCCTCACTGTGTACTTTAGACTTTTTTAAATGTCTAAATTAAACTCTTGAGCCTCTTGTGTATATAATGCATCTTAGGGCCAATACAGTAACCCTTTAATATATTTAAAGTCAATTCTTGTTACATGCTATCATTCATGGCAACATGATTTTTACCTGGAAATATAAGTATAGTAATTGGATAAAAAGCTGGATAATTACTAATTACTTTAAGTACGACCTACTATATTTCAGTGCTGCTTGTCCATAAAATATCTATACGTTTTATGTACATGAAAAGTTGGAAGAGACTGGAAATAGCACATTTTTTGAAAGATCTAGTTTTAAATTAATTTAAATCATAGCCTGATTTATTCACATATATTCCATATACAAATTTTATACTCTGACTCATTGGACACTTATTATTAGAATTTTGGAGAGAATACACTGTATTCCTCATACTAGAGAGATGAATCTCATTAAGCATGAAATGCAACTCTCTGAAATATGGAGTGGAAATTTATGGGTTTATAATTTGAATAAACACTTAAAATGACTTTTAAAAATTTCTGCTCAAATAAAATAGACAGGCGGAGACAAATCTGTAAATACTGACAAGTCAATAAGGGAATTGCCTGGTTGCTAAAGGATGACTTTTCCTTAGATAATGCTACAGAAATTATAGCTGTAATGATACGTCCTTCTTTAAATTATATATTTTCACCCTCTGTGATGTAAATTATCTTATTTCCTTTCTAGAAACATTCACTTTAATCAATAGGAGAATTAACCAGACTATTGCAAAGTATTCAGCATTCAAAGGGGATAAAATTTCATTGCTGAAGAGAGCCAAATTTCATTGCTAGGAAATCATAAACTTCTTATGGGTTGGACCAGTCTTTAAAAAGTCTAATTGAAGGAGACTTGAAATCTGGTTCCTGAACAATGTGGTTATGTGCCTTTCTATGGGGAATTTCATGAGCTGAGTAGTAAGGTTGTTAGAAGAACCTACCTGTGAATTTCAGAGGAGAATATTACACTGTCTGCAGTCAATTTGCAACAAATAGATATTATTTCAGTAGAAATGTATAAAAATATCTCACAGGATAACTGCATTCAAAAGAAAGTGGTGCTATGTTTGTTCTTGCTTAGTTTATATGCCCTATCATCTCCACCCTAGTTGACGTCAAACCCCAAGGACGTCATATCAATCTGTGATAGAGAGCTACTGCTATTTTTTTTTTCATGCACCTTTCATTAAAAGCTCATTGTCCAAGAGTGCATAATGAACTGGTGGCCTAGAACTGAATCTAATGTATCGAATACACAATCTACATTCTAGAGCTTCAAAGGCATGCTGTCTGTTGCTGCAGTGCCAGAAATAGTAGGACAGTAGGACTCAAGCACCATAGTATTATTTCTCTTTTATGTTTATTGGCTTATGTCCTTTTTTTAGGCATTATGTAATTCTCTCCAATAAGGCAGCCTTGTTCCGGACATAGGAACTGGGAATGAAGAGTCAAATGATGTGCTGATGCTGAGGTTAAAAGTTAGCACCACAAGACATGTAAAAGAACCTAGGCAGACTTTACTGTAGCTTCTTCAGGTGCCAAAGAAAAATGAAATATCAAATTAAAGATGGAGAGCTAAGATTTTATACTATACAGTCCAGACTTCCCAAAGTCTCTCCATAGCTTCTCAAGCAGCTAATCCTACTCTAGTCAATGCTGCTGTGGTTTGCCTATCGTTAATGTGTTAAACAGGTACTCTAAAGCTAGTTTATGAATCCTGAAAGTGTCACAGTTATACCTTTATTTGCAGTAGACAGATATCCAAAGCTTCCAATATTGATTCTGATGCTGACTGGCTCTATCACCTGAGAAGATCTCAGTGCCTTTTTTCACCACATCACTGAGGATGATGTGGTTTTTCTATCATTAGTGATCCACTTTAAATCTAAAAAGTAAATGACCATTATTTGTATTCCTCTGGAATTTCCATCTAAAAATTTCTAAAATCAGTAATGTTTAAAGCATATGCAAAAACTTCCATAAAATAAGGCTGCTTTTATTTTAGAAACTGCAAACTGTAATACAGGGACTTGTCTAAAAACACATCAGAGGGCAGTAGAGAAAAAATCAGGAAATCACTTTCTTAATTGAAAGTCTTCAGTCCCAGGTTGTAATCACTAGAGATATGTCTTTCTGGTGTTTGGAGTTCAGTGCTGTTTCTTAAATAATAACACTCAGCATAAATCCATGAATAAATAACATACTTAAACATGTTTTCCAGAATCATATGAACTGTGTTTAACTAATGAAGAATTATCCCTTCCATAACAGCAGTAACAATGTAATGCCTTCTATTCCTTTGCCTTCAATAGAAAATAAAAATATGCTGAGGTTCTCTGAATTTTTATCAGTGAAATTCTGTCATAGGTGAATGTTTCTAAATCCAGAAGAAGACAGAAGTGATGAAGCACTGACATTCTGAACCACAATCTGACCAACTCTATATTATAATTTTTCATGCAAGCAAGCAGCCTTCTAATCAGAATTAGCTAATAACTTGTGAGAAATTAAATTAGCTTTAACATATATATATATATATATAAAACAAACAAACAAACAACAGGGTAAATATGAGATACTGCTGTACAAAGCCAAGAAGATGAATGCTTTAATACTTATTTGATTTATAATGAGAGTAAGAGAAATATGTAAGAACCTACCTGTACAAGTTGGACAGTTGCTACATCCAGAAGTCTGAAATCTTCTATAATTTTGTCCAATTCTGATTGTTTAGATCATCATAGTTGTAAATGTCACATTAAACATAATCAGGACTTGCTTGAACTTCTGTTTCTTGGTTTTTCTCCCTCTTTCTTTCCTTCTGTCCTCTCTCTTTCTTTCTCTCTTCTTCCTTTTTCTCTTTCTACTGCTTTGTTTATATCTCGTAACTAAGCACTGTGTGGTCTGGCAAATGGCTAAGCAAGTAAACAGTAAGGTTCCTTCTCTTGCTTGCAAGCCAAGATTAGCAACTCCTGGTTTGAAGTTGAGCCCAACGTCATGTCTGCTGAAGCTGTTTACACTCCTTCCTCGTTTTTTTTTTTTTTTTTTTTTTTCTTCTTCTTTCTTTTTGGTATTTCACCTGCCAGGTAATGAGAGTCAGCTTTTAGGAAGTGCTCAATATAAATCTCTGGATCTGTCGACATATAAGAACTCTATTGGATTACTTGACACACACAGGAGCATTAGACCTAAAGCCCTGTAGACTGATGTCACATTCAGCCCTCTGCCAATCCAGAGAGAAGCAGTACACCAAAGCAGAGATTGATGGTCTAAGGGGGTGAATGTGTCTTTTAGGAGCAGCAAAATCCATCAGGCTCAATGCACAATGTGGATAAGATTTTGATGGCTATATCTGGCAGAAAAAAAAAAAACAACAGAAAGAAGGGAATTAGATTTTTTTTTATATATAATATTGTTCAATCTGAAAAATTCTGGTTAATTATTGCAGGATGCAGCTGTGCTCAGAGCAGGGCAAAGGGAGCTCGTGGGATGCTGCAGGGCAACTGTGAGCTGGGCATAAGAAAGTAAAGAAAGAAAAACCTTAACAAAACAAAACAGAATTCTATTGGACTTATTCAATAAGCTCCTCACATTAATTGTTCCTCCATTCTTCCCAGCTATGTTTCTCTTGGCATTCTATTTTATTCCTTCTGTCTTCAAACAACTTTCTTCTGGCTTAAGCTAAATAGAAGCCCATCTGCCTCCAAAAACTCTGAATTCATTCCTTTACTTCCACATATTAAAAAAAGCCCAAACACAGAAGAAATTATCAAAATGTATGTTATGTATTGCAAGGGCAATTATCCACTTTTATGATGTTAGTATTCAGTTAGAGCAGACAGCATTTTATTTTTAAAGAAGACCCTAAAAAATTGGTTGATACAACAGAAAATATGGTATCATACAAAAGACCAAAAGCTACAAAGGGAAAATATTTACATCAGGCAGACATCTCTGTTGCAGTCCATGTCTATGGTAGACCCAAGTCCAGATTATTTTACCATCAGAAACTGAAATCATCATTACCCTAGGTCCTCATACTGTTTGATTTATCAGCTGACACTCATCCATGTTCTTCTTTATGTCTTGTCCTTCCTTGGACTGTAAGACTGTCTCCACTCCTGATTCTTGTCCTCCATAAGTGCTCTTCTGGAGAATAGTTGAAGGATCCTTCACTTTCTCCCTCCAGCTTTGTATAAGCATTCCACAAAGCTGCATTTGTTTACTCTTTCTCCCTATAATTTGTCCCTGAGAAATGTGATTTGCAAATGCAATTTCAGCAACAATTTGTATGCCAGTGCCTCACAGATGTCTCCACTGTAGATTTCTCTCTTCGTGTCCAAATGAAAACCCCAAATTGTCTCTCTTTGCCTATCTTCATGCAACTAGTCATTTAAGTTCAACATGGCTGAAAAAAGCCCTCTTATTTCCATATTTCTGACTCTTTTTTCCTTTCTTAATCACTGTGAATGATATCACTGTTATCCCTAGCCCATACCTTGGGTCTCACATTCAGTTTGGTCTTCTTCCTGGGTCAACCCTTCCTCTGTACCTGTATCTTGACATGTGCTTTTGAATAAAATTTACAAGCTATGGCATTTTTTATCTATCTTTAAACAAAATTTATTCAGGCTTTCATCATCTCAATTGCTGCAAATCCCTCTCTTCTGACACTGACAAATGCAATATTGCCTTATCCAAAATGTCACTGAAAACGTCCATTTTGTTGACTGTTAACACTGGGCACATCACCCATCTTTTATATCCCATCTCTGCTCCCTTTTCTTTATAGCAGCAAAATAAATCTATTTTTTCCTAAATTTGGTCTTGGTCCAGAAGTCATAAATCTGATCTGAAGGAAACTGGAATGCAGGCAGGAATAAAACTATGTAGAAAAGCCTCACATCTGAAATGTCTCAAACAGAACATTTTAGAATTGGCAAAACAACATTTACTTATAATCTTACCAACTGTGCAATGAAGACTGTTTGTTGACTCTTTTCCTGTGATCACTGGGACTGATAGTGCTCTTCATTTTTTGGATTCATGGATCCAAATACCAACAGATCAGCAAAACAGCTGTTGATGATAAAAAGAAACTCTGAACATTGATACACCTTCGGATGGATTCAGCCTGGTTGTCCAGTACAGTCATAAAAGAAGAAGAAAAGCAACACAGAAGTTTGTGGTTATTCCTTCCCCAAGTAATGAGTAGGGAGGAGATAGGAAGTTATTTATAGTGGTGCATTTGTAGCTACCAGATTTGATTTAAGTAGATGTGTGTTTATGGAGTTAATAGGGCATGTGGCTTGTTGAATCATTTTGCTAGAAATAATGTGTTATGTGAATATGCTCCCATTATATCAGGTAGAAATGTTGATTTGATTAACTAATCAAAGTTCCTGAATACTTTATGCTCCATTGCTTTAAGAAAAGACTCAGTCATTCTTCTCATGAAAGCATAGGCCCAATGCAAACCTGTGGTAGTTCTGTTGGTGTAAGCAACGTGTCCAGATTTGTGAAATTGTATTATCACCCATGGTTCTTTCTCTATTCTGAATAGTCATTGAAAACAGCCATTTTAGAAAATTATTCACATCATATTGGTCTGAATGAAAGTAGTATTGCAGACTCATAAAATCAGACAGTTTGAGTGCTTCAATTTTTATTCTACTCACCTATTGAATCCTTATGGTGTAGAGATGAGATGTATGTAATTGTGGCAAATTTTATGTAACTAGATCACAATGAAAGAAGGTTAACAAGATGAAAGACTATTTATTGCAGTGAAGGAACTGATGGATGGAGGCTTAGGATCTCCCTTATGTTCTGTCCAGCTTTCTGAGAACTGGCAAGGGTTAGAATCCAATTATTCTCTGACATTAATGCCTTTTCATCCCACAGAAGCTGAAGTGTAGGAAGCTCTTAAAGTTTACATAAAGGTGAGGATTACTGTTTATTTCTCAGATGATGGTGGTACAAGGCAGGCTGTCAAAACTACAAGCACAGGTCAGGCATGGGGTTTCTGTTAAATAGAGAAGATTCATAGTGTTTCTGTTAAGTTGTAACTGGTTTTAGTTCAGAGTCCCATATAGGGGGTCATGAACTGCTTGAGCTGTCAGAGCTAAATGTAGATCACTTGAACTTTCAGAAAAATCAGGCAATCTCCCTTGTTGTTTAAGTCTGCTCGAGTCAAATAACAGGACCTAACCACTTCTTCTGATAGAGAACTTTCATGCATCTTCCCTATGCCCAGTATACATTCAAATTAAAGTTTTATTTCCATAACAGTTTCTAAGCAGATTAGAATTGGTCCAGTCATCTATATTTAGCTTAGCAAAGCAATACAGAGATGTGAGTCTATGCTCTTGTTCTGGTCTTTTGTCAGGGGTATTTCACAGCTGTATCTTCATGGCAATCAGGTCAGATTAGCCCTGATCTCAGTTTTTGAAGAAAAAGAGAACAGGCCAATATACAAGCAAGATACAAAGAAAGGATCTATGTAAGGAAATTAATGTCAAATCAACAGCTGACCAAACATACCAGAACAGCCTGTTTCCCTTTAAGAAATAATTCCTAAATTAATTAAAGAAACTCACTAAACTGAGAGTGGAGGTTTTGCAGTATAAGTTTGTGTTCGAAAGGGGGCAGGAAGGCAGCATAACTCTTACCTGCCACTGGTGACAGTAACTGTTTTTCCTTAAAAACAGTAGTTGGCAAAGGCTGGATCAACCCCCTGGGGGTTTCGAAATCTTTAGGAAGTTCTATGAATGGATGAAACCCAATTTAAATATCACTTTTAATACAATCTGTATAATTTGCTTTTGCTTCTTACACTGCTTTTGACATATGATGTGAAGCAATGAAAAATGATTGGACAAGTAGTTCATGTTTGTGATACCTGATGGCAGCTCTGCTGGTCCCATAAGTAACTCAATGAGGCAGTATTCCTATGATACATCCTCCAATGCATCTTTCTCGGATACAAGAAGAGAGGGTCTGAAGCAAATAATTTGTGATATAAAGTACAAACTGGCACTGTTTAATGACAAATGCTCTTACACTGTAATGGAGTTACTCTCTAAATAAGAACTGTAAATTCAGGCCATTAATCTGAGGAAAGAAAGGGGGAAACTTCATTAAACGTTTCTGGAATATGGTGATGGAATTCCATGTATATAGTTTCATTAAAAATAGTAATTTTAGCCAGCAATTATGTGGTTGCTGTTTATAAGCTAAAAAAAAAAATCTCTTTTCTCTCTTGGAAAAAAGATTTTATATTTGGTTTGCTCTTGGCCACCACAATGAAACCTGCATACATTCAGATATACTTGTATATAGCAGTCTAACACTTTACTTACAGAATGAAAAGAATTTTCTCTACTATAGCTGAAGTGACCAAAATATATTTTAATTTAATGTAAAATTAGTATACATAGATGGTCACAGGGTAGTATTCCACAACATAGAGGTGTGTACAGGCACCAAACTAGCACAAAGAGATAAAGTTTCACCCAAGGGAAATAATTTGTTATTGCAGTTATCCTCTTTATTCTGCTTAGTGTGGCTTGCTAAGTCATGGTATTGTGCAGTATAGGTGTAACACACACTATTAATTATCTTCAAAATGCTTTGGTTAATTAATGATAAAATACCAAGTGAAAAGAGATAGAGCCAAGCTGTCCATATTCCTCTACCTGCCATTTAGCTCACAATCCCCACATTTAGTTGTATTGGGATCATTATATGGAATGCTACGTTCAACTAGCATTTAGACAGGATGTCAGATAATTGATGTTGTCCAATTTCATTTGAAACGCAGCCATTCTCTAGCTCTTTTCAGAGATAATGTATGACCCTATCTAACATGGGAGAGATGTTAGCATTTAGGAGTTGAAATTAGAAAACTGACAAGAATTGGTGCACTCCTGATAAGTCTTTTTAATCAGAAAGATGTATTGAGCAAGTTCAGGCCTGAAGAACATTGAATGCTGGTTAGAGAGAATGAAACTGAAAGTTTGCCTTTGGTATCCCCTGAGTTCAGTGCCAGAGTCATCGGTGGTGTTGTTCAGTATAAGGTC